TTTTATTATCCCCTCCCCGAGTTGAGAGTCCTGTCATTGTTAACCAGTGTCCTGATGTCCAGGGAGAAAGGTCCTCAGGGTGAGTCAAGGGGTTTATGTTAGTTTCCTATCACTGCTGTGACAAGTTACTATGAACTTAATGGCTTAAAGGACACAAATGTATTTATCGTGCAGTTTTGTATGTCAGCAGTCTGCCACGGATCTCACTGGGCTGAAGCCAAGCTTGTCAGCAGGGCTGTCTCCTTTCTGGAGGTTCTAGGGGAGAATCCACTCTCTTGCCCTTCCACTCCCCTCTAAAGAAAGTAGTGAGGGCAGAAACCTGTGATAAACAGGGTTTATCTTTCCTTATAACCTTGCCCATTCTTCTATTCAGGCTTTTTTTTCTTTAAGGGGTCTATTTCTAGCAGGGGCCCCTCGGTGCCACAACGCCAAATGCACTATAGCCAGCGTGATTCTGAGCTGCCTACCTGCCTGGTTGCAGCCCCATCTGCTGCCCGTGGACTCAGAAGCAGCAGTTTTCTCTTGCCTGTGCTCCCCGTGGAACTTCCCAGCTGGGAGTAGTTACAGAGGGGAAGGACCTGGCAAACATCCCTCCCCTTCCCCAGAGACAGCAAAGGCTCCAGGGCCTGTCTCAGGGGTTTGAGTCAACATCTCAGAGGTGGAGGCTGGAGGTGACGGGGAAGAAGGCGGAGGAAGGGGGAGGATGACAAGATTGAGTTGGATCTCAGCTCCAGTCGGCTGGAAGCAGAGGCTGAATCTAATAAGAGCACATTTTTTCCTGTTATTAATAATATTCTGGTTCTTTGCTTAGGATCAAATGGTCAACTGCCCAAGAATAGGATGGGAGAGGCTGGACTTTTAACCTCAGTTTTGGTAGGTGGGAGCAAGACCCACCTGTGACAGGTGTCGGCCCTCAGACTCCTTGAAGGATGGAACTGATTCTCCCTGTGTGATGGCCAGGCTGTGGCCCCCTCTTCTCCCCTTTGAACCACAGAGGTCCCTCTAGAAGAGTGGAAATCTCCAGAAAATACAGGGAAATCTTCAAGCAACTATCTCCAGATGTCAACAATCTAAGCAAGTGAGAGTGAAGCTGCCCAGTCTGAAGGTTTGGGGGAGCTTCTCAGCAGTAACTCCTGTTCTCCCCTCTACCCCAACACACACACACACACGTGCACAGACACACATACGTGCACAGACACAAGTGCACGTACACACAACCTTAAATGGTGGAGCTGAAAGTAAAACAGTAGGATGATGGTTATACACACAGATTTTGGAGCCAGAGAACCCAGGTTTAAATTGTAGCTTTTCTACTTGCTATTTGTGTGTCTTTGGGAAAATTAGTTAATCTCAGTCTCCCTGTTCCTAATCAATGGTAATTATACTTACTTCACAGGGCTTTTATGAGATTTAATGAGTTAGTATTTATAAAGATACATGAATACCTGGGCATAGCCATAATATGGCTTAATTAAATAATAAAATATATAACTTGCTCTGTGGGGATAATCTGGAAGCCTGTTCTTGGGCCAAATATAGTTTACTAGCTATACTTCCCTGCTAGGAGTTAGAATTAAATTCCGAAGTTATTCAACAGACAAAAATTCTAGGGCATATTGAGACTGAACCAATATGGCGTGGCTGTTAAGTGACATTAGTAGAAATATACTTTTTGGACTAGAACAAAGATGGTGACAGTTCTACTGTATTCTGTACTGGTCAGATCGTAGTTACAGTCAGTTCTTAGAAGAGCCTGAGTCATTTTGGAGTTCTTTTTTAGTTATACTTAAGTCCTTTGGCCAATGATCTAATGGTGAATCAAAGCATTTTAATTAGTCAACATTTCTAAGGAAAGCCTTGCTCTATCCCTTTGATTAAATTTGTCCCTTAACAGTGACCAAATCTTGAGACCCTAGCCGATAGATCCTGGCGGCCTCCTGTCTCACAGGTCTGACACAGAGCATCAAAACCTATAAATTCTGGGAAACCTGGAGTCGTGGTTGCCACAGAGAGAAGGTGACGCCAGTATTGGCAAGGGCGGCGAGGAAACTTGAATTACGACCAATGCAGACTCTTGGAAACAATCCAGGCTGTTAGAGTGAAAGCTGGAAGACAGAAGAGAACCATGAGAGCTGGTTTCACACCATGGGAAGGGCCGTCAAAGAGAGGAAGTGACAGAAAGAACACATTAAACACCGATGTGCTCAGGCTTTATATCTGTTGTCTAATTAAATGATCACAACAATCCCATGGCAGCCGCCACAACTATTGCCAGTAAACAGATGGAGAAGAGATAACGAGACTTACCCCAGTCCCCTAACTGGTGTGTGTTCCAGCCAGCCCAGGATCCTAGGTCCTCATATCTTTCGGCCTCGTCTCCCCACCGCCATGACATGATTGCATTGTGTGCATGCGAGGCACAGCTTTCTAAGCTTTAGAGCAGCGAGAACGGTGTGGGAATTACACAGCGGTTCCTTATCATAGAAGATTGCTAAGCAAATGCTTGATGAGTATCATAAAATATGCTGAAAAGATGATTTAGGAGAGTGGAAATGGATAATCTAGGATGGCACCTTCCAATTTCAAAGTTCTGAATTTCTGTACTTTGGGGTGGGATATACACTTCAGGTATATTGATTTTTTTTTTTCCTCCCCTGTGTTTTCCAATCCCTCTTCCATTCCATCCTTTTCTGCAATTCAAGCAGATTGTCTCGTTCTGGGAACATGCCTTTTGTTAAAAGGAGGGATGTGGTGGCAATTTGGCTGTTGGGATAACAGAAAAAACATTGCTATTCTTTCTAGTTGTTGATTAAGCTTACTAAAGAGATTGTGTTACATTCCTCTGAGGCAAACTTGTAAAGATTAGAAAAGAAAGCTATTACATCACTGCCCTCCCCCCTCCAATACCTTGGCGCCAGGAAAACACAAACCCCTGAATGTAGGAGATTTAGGGCTGGGATTGATCTAAGGTTAATATTCTGTTATCCCATAAGAATGGGGCTTGACATAGAACTCAGGTTGACTTTTTGAAAATAAAGTTATTAATATATTTCTTAACACCTGAGTATGTGAACAGAGACCTGCCCATTTCAGGTTTGGAAAGCGTAGGGTGTGCCCTGAGCCCAACACGAAGTAGTTGCAAACCTGAAGTTTTTGGTCCTCTGCTGCCCCTTTGTGGACTAGCTGGAAATAACACGTCAAGATTTCCCTTGCTGCAAGAGCATGAAATTGGATTTGGGAGAAGCCGAGTTACAAGACCACGACAAAGTCAGGAACTGTGGCTATCCCCAGCAAGGCCGGGGTTCCCAGGAGAGAGGCCCAGAACTCTTTCAAACTGTCAATGACGTCAAAAAACTCTTCTTTTCCACAATCTTTATTTTTCCTCGAGACACCTGGATCCAGCAAGCGAGTGGCCATCTAAAAGACTGCCAGTCATGCACCTCTGGGATTTCTTCTGGCCACGCGCAGCAGCCGTGGGCACAACGCCAACCCTCACACGCCTCCTCTTCCAGGGCTTGGAGTGACAAGGCTGTGGGGTTTTCCCTCTGGTTTCGCAGTTTTCACACTATCTCTTCGCCGTCTGTCTCTACGCTACGGGCTCCACACAACTCAGCGCATTCATGCTTGCTGCACCCCCGCAGGACAGAGATGGCCCTTTCGTTCCGGTACGTGAGAGAGGGGAACACTCAGGCACAACGGAGGGAAGGGACTGAGGATCGCTGGGAACAGCCTGGCTGGGATCCAGGGGTGTGAGAATCTCAGGACCATCTTCTACCTGCAGCCTCGCTGTCTCCTTCCCTGGCAACCCCACCGGGGTGTCCACCCACCACACTGCCCAGCCTCACTCCCTGTCCCCTCCCGCAAAGAGCCACAGTGGCCTGGGGCTCAGCCTCTCACTCTCCTGCCCCCAGGGGAGGATGGGTTACCTGGGGCTCCTGCCACCTGCCACCTGGGCCTCCTCTCTCCAGCTGCGAGCCAGGGACCCTCCCACAGGCCTGGCCTGCCCTCCCTGCCCCCCACCTCATGCCTCCAGACCCTGCCGCAGCCTGCGGTCCAGGGCCAGGAGCTGCCGCAGGAAGCCTCGGTTGGGAATGATGCCTCGGTGGTCCTTGACTTTCTTGATGGCCTCCACGAGGGTGAGGCGATGGTACAGCATGAGGTAGGCCAGCACCAGCGTGGCGGATCGGCTCACCCCCACGGCACAGTGCACCAGGATCTTCCCTGAGGGGAGAGACACAGGGGGACAGTTGCAGGACTGTTGCTGGTGGCTTGGAGGAGGCTGGGGAGAGGATGACGCGGACAGGGATGAGGGAGACAGGGAAGCAGAGGTGCACGAAGGCAGGGACACGTGCACACAAGTGGTGCTGTGAACGCAGATCCCAGCAAAGGGGGAGAGGCCTAGACAGAGACAGAATGAGACAGAGAGGACGTGCAGCAGCTTGTCGGCCATA